TCCTGGTGTACTTCCTTTTTTCTACATTTAAAATAATGGTAATTTGCTACAATCTTAGATAAACCTTTCCCAGCCCTCGTTTGTCTTGTATTGTTCAATTGGCAATTTGTCTGTTTTGTAATAAGAAGGTAATCGTTATTTTCCTTCCCTGTTGTTTAGATTCTGTTCATTGGTTTTGCCACCCTGCTGTAAGCGGAGTAGCTTATTCACAAAAGAATGGGGATACCATCTTGTAAAAACAGCTCATTTCACAAGGTAGCAGTAGCAATAATAGAAACCCTCTTGCTAAAGACACTCCATATGCACTTGTGATTGTCAGAAGTGCTATAATTAGTTTTGATCTTAGTCAACAACTGAAAGCTTTGATCTTAATCCTTCATTAATGAGGCAGTTGCATATGTGGAATTCAGAGGCAATGAATGCATCCAGTGAATACTACACTGTAGTTGGGTAATGTTCTCATTTCAAATCGTTGCCCATCTTATATGCAACAGCTGATGTCATTCAGAAAAGGGGCATCTGCTAATCCTTTCACTTAATACGAGGTTGGTGAGTGCCTGTTTTTTCTTTCACTGTAGAGGCTGGTGTGGATTATTTATTTTTATGTGAAATAGTGAAACAGGAGCTGTGGCATACCGTTGCATTTTTCTTCTCTTGTTTTTTTTTCCTTTTTTTTTTTTTTTTTTTTTTTTTACGTAATAATTGTTGTTTTGGCTGTTTTTTTGGCTGTGTTTCTCCAGGAAGGTTAGCAGGAAGGTTAGGATTTTAAAGTCTTGTGGATTATTTATTTTTATGTGAAATAGTGAAACAGGAGCTGTGGCATACCGTTGCATTTTTCTTCTCTTGTTTTTTTTTCCTTTTTTTTTTCCTTTTTTTTTTTTTACGTAAGAATTGTTGTTGTAGAGCATAATTTGGCTGTATTATTGAACCTGTGTCTCCAGGAAGGTTAGGATTTTAAAGTCTAACAATTAAAAAAAAAAATCTGTTTGGGAATTGACAGGTAAAATGAGTGGAAGTGTGAAGAAAATGTCATCTGATACCGCATTTCTTCCCCACCTGTCAACACACACTTTTTGATCAGTCTTCATGCAGTAGTAGAATGACTTACCTTATAAAATAAACAATGCATAGAAAATGAAATCTCCTAAGAGCAGATATGGTCAAAAAAGGAGATCAGGCTGCAGATTCTTACGGAATCCTTACATCTAACTGATGTCTGACCAAATGTTCCCAATTTACTACGAGAAAACATGCAATACATCGCTAGAAACAAAGTCCCCAAATGTATTGGAGTGCAAAGGATAGGGTTTGTGCCAACAGCCATGAAGAAATTTTAAAATGTTTCTGCTTTATACCAAAGAAGGGAGGCTCAGTATTTTTGTAACTCTGTATTTTTTTCTTGGGGGGAAGGGTAGACTGTCGGTTATCGTTATGTGGGAATCACAAGGTATTTTTTTAACGTATTATTGACAATTATGATTTTTTTAATACTGGATGGAGAAGTCACATAATCATTTGCAGGCTTTGTAAATATAGGGAGCAAAATCTTGTAGGGTTATTAGTTTTTAAGCAGACTAGTTATTTTTTTGTCAGAGAAACATTTCTGATTTCAAATTACGTGAATAGCTAGCCACTCATAAAAAGACCGCTTCTGAATTGCAGTTATAACAGAAAACAAAAACATATATGACCATTTCATCTCGCCTTTTAGTATTTTCCTAAATACACATGCTGCACTTCTTTTTAATGAAAATTATCCCTGTTTTTTAAGAGTTTAAACAGTGTCTCTGTTTGCAGAGTGAGGCGTGGTTGGTGTTGGTAGGGCGGTTGGTCTCTGCGGCCACCAGCGGCTGAATAAAGGTTCCAGGAGCGGTAGGCAGGCTGAGAGTCCCGACGGCTGGCTTTGCGCAAGCTCGGCTTGCTCCGACGTGCTGGGCATGGACCGGTGCCGACAGCAAGCAGGGAGGGAGAAAACACCTGTTTTACCCCTTTCTTTCATGCCTGTTTGCTGGCCAGGTTTCCGAAGGAGATGCTGAAGCAGGATGTTTTCAAGGGTGCTTTTGGGTGAATCAGCATGTCTTTGCGCAAGTTGTTCAAACACTTAATTGCGCTTGCTACTGAAAGTGGGTGGCTTATTTCTGGTCTGGAGTTCCAGCCTTATTTCTGCCTAGCTTTGGTTTCCAACCATCAGAGCTCAGTTGCTTCTTTCCGATGAAGCTGTTACCAGAAATCTTTTCTTGGTAGAGATTTTCTAAATCAAATTAGTAGCCCACTCCCTGGTGGATGCGTGTAACTGATTGAGCTTCTTACCATGAGACAGGTCCCCCAGGCTCCCATCAGCCCACACGACTGTTTCCAAGCCCTCTTTCTTTTTGGGATCGCATAGTGGAGAGCCCTGTGTGGCTTTACACCAGCCTTTTGCACAGGGTCAGGGGTAGCAGCTTTCTTCTCCTACACAGGATTGCTCTTCGTTAGCATGACCCTCTTTAGCATTAGTTTGAGACAGCAGGCTGCGGTCGGATATCGATGTACTGCCAGCATCCTTTCCCGTGCTCCTGGGCACAGCCTGGTTGTATCAGGCATCCAGGTCTGTGGTGTTTAATGCCTATCCTTGATCTGGTTTTGCACAGCTTTTCGAGGGGCCTGGGTGCTCTGACATCCTCAGCATCAGGCACTGAAATCAGGTTTTCCAGTTCTCAGCAGCTGCTACTCTCACCTGTTCAGAAACAGACCAGCAAGCATCCCGGTGGGAAGTAAGTGTATCGTGTGGAAATCAGGGCTGTAAAGGCCGCACGTGTGAGACGGGAGCTTTTGAAAATCAGGCCTTGAACGTAGAGGTGGCTTAACTGATCTCAGTGCAAATGCTGGTGACCTTTTTTCCTGTTCAATAAATTAAAGGTTAAATTTGCATAATTTATTGGACAGTTATTTAGATCGTCACTTCTTTCCACTCACATTTGTACAGACTTAAGTTCAGTTAAAAAAAAAAAAAAATCTATAAAAGCTGGAGAAGGATGGCAAATGCACGAGAGCTCTCCCCCATTCAATCTTCCTGGGCTAAACCCTGCTGTGTCCTGCAGAGGCAGCGATGGAGGGTGTAGGCAGAGGGTAACCCTCCTCACACAGAGCCTGACTAAACCGTGGAATTCATTGCCACACCATAGCATGAATGTTAAATCTCATGCAAGTTTGAGGCGGGGGGGGGGAATAAAATTAGAACCATGGAAGGAAAATCCAGCAAGGTTAGTTAAACATTGCAAAAGAGTATTTACGGCTCTTGCCTGGGGGTGTTTGGTGAACCCCTGTCAGGAAACAGGAGCCTGGAAGGGATGGCCTTTGCTCGCTCTGACGCTCTGAAATTTTGTCCTGCTTTCAAATAAAATTTTCTTTTCATTTTCTAAATGGAATTAGAAAGTACTATACTTAACTGCAGCTTCAGGAAAGATAAAGATTAAATTAATCTGGTGCTTTAGAGATTAAAAGGCGAAGATATTTAGAAATATTTTTGAGCATTACAGAAATGTTTTCACTCAGTCCGAGCTTTGGGTGATTTGTTTTTGGAATTTGCTTACACTGGCTCTAGCCTTCCCCACAGGCAGCACTGCACCCCAGCACAAACCACATTATCATTGAAGATGAGTTGTTATCATTAAGACTTTAAAAAGAAGGACATTTTTTATGCTTTTATAAAAGTATCAGAGACTTTAAATTGTCTGAGGTTGTGAGAGTAACCACTGAAAATACTAGGAGTTGCATTCTATTTTTGTAATTTTTGTGGCTTGTCAGGAAGCTTATTTGTTCCTGTTCGATTGCTACAGTACTTCAGTAACAAATTTTACAATTTTACAAAATGTAAATTTGTAATTAAATATTTATGAACCAATTCTAAAAATGGTGGGAGGAGTGATAATTTGCACTGCCTATGATTTCTCAGTTGGCTTTTTTTTTTGGTTGCTTGTAGATTATTTTTTTTTTGTTTTGAGATAAGCAAGGCCTTTCCTTTGATCCAGTGAGTAACTTATAAAACCCGTTGTGCAATTTATAGCAACAGTGTATTACCTCTGTAAGTGAAGTTAACTATAGCACATGTAGTCAAAAGCATTTAAAAAAAAATCCTGCGCAACTATGTGTAGGGTGTTTATTTGTTTGTCAGAATTTTTAAACTAACTTTGCAGTTGTTGAACTAAATGTGACCAGGGAACTGAAACTAATTACATAATACAATATTTAGGGACACTATAGTTGAAATGAAATAGTTGATCATCATTGGAGAGTTTTTTAAATTGTTGTTGTGGCCCTAGCACAGAAATGTTACTCTAGTTAATGTAGGGGATGTTGGGTGTCGCTGCGTAATGAAAGAACTGTTGCTCACTTTGCTTGAATTACCCCAAATGCAAATCTTTCCACTACCAGTGTGATAGGTATTGCCTAGTTATCCGACAGGAATGGCTAGCAATTAGTGCAAGCTTGCTGATTATTTCCAGCATCCATGAGGGGTTTTCTTAATCAAAGTTGTTACAAATAAAGTAAATATCTGTGAGGCCAAATTGTCACTAAGGGAAGGATTTGCGGTATTTCATTAGGGTACTGTGGGGTCCATAGGCACTTTAAAACTTATTTGCATTGGCACTCGTGTGTTACAGTTTACCTTTTGAAAATAAACTAATATACAAAGCATGTAACTTTGCAAAGGGCTTTCTGCTGGCTTATGTGCTTTAGTCATTGCCAGGCTTTTTTTTCCTTGGAATTCTTCCTTTGGCAGCAGTTTCTAACCTGTCTGAATAACATTGCCTTGTTCACTCTGAAGAGTTTCTCCTGGTTTATAAAATGGGGTGGGGGGAAGTCCTTTTATATTTATATATATTTGCTGCATGTAACATATCCACCTAAACCACATTTTTATATCTTCCTCTGAGGTTAAATGAATGGATTTATTCCGATGGAAATTAGAACAGATGTTTCTTGCTTGGTCTGACTAAATTTTACCTGTGCTAAAGTAGAAATTCTGCTTTTCTTCCCCCTCCCTTCCCTCTCCCTGCCTCAAAATTTTACCTCAGTCCCTACCACTGCCGCTAGCACTCCTGATGCCGTTGACAAATATTTGGAGACACCCGGAGATGAAAATGAACATGCCCATTTCCAGAAAGCCAAGGAGAGACTTGAAGCTAAGCATCGTGAAAGGATGTCTCAGGTAAGGGGAGATTTCCTTATTCCTAAAAGTGGGAGTTTTGTCTGTGAAGTCATTAGATGCTTGGGATCCTTCATATTTCCCAAGACTTCAGCCAGCTGCCCTGCCCATTTGCAATGCTGTAAATACACCATTTACTGTCTTTCTGAGATTATTCTTCGTTCTAAGTAAAGAGCTTGACCACTGTATTAGTCATCCTTCCTTTGTAGCAGCTGAGGGAGATTGCTTGTGATTAGCTTCGTTCTCGCTGTGTATGCATACATGGCCCTGCCCTGGGGTAACATAAGCTTGCGTATGTTCATCTAATGGTCTTGAGCCTCAAGGTAACATGAAATGCATCTAAAGCTGAAGAAAAGAGGAAAAATTAGTGCTTTTGTACTGAACCAAAATCCAGCTGAATCAACCCTTTTTTTCCTTTAACCAAAAAGATTTTTGTAGCCTGAAACCGTACACTGTTTTTAATCCTATTGAACACTAAGAGATGAGCTATCAGCTGTCTCAGAAATATGGTTTATAATAGCAATGCCAATAAAAAATTGTCACAGTTCTGCTCTGATAACAATAAAGAAAAAATACAAGAGGTTTAAAGGAAAGCCTGTGGTGCATATTTTTTTAGGATGGAACAACCGCAGAAATGAATGTAGTATAATTCAGATCCACTGCATATATCTGTGTAGCTATTTTACTATATTTTTTCATTGTAACTTTGTTCCCCTGTCGCATTTTCAGTGTTCCTGTGTATTAATGACATATTAACCTTTAGCTCTGTGCTAAAATGTTTGAGTAGGTCTGAAATTAAGCTCTTAGAATAAGTCCCCGTCTACTGGCACTTTTCTAATAAACAGAGCAGGGCATCTTACCTGAAGCAGTCACCCGATCAGTGCAAACCACATACCATGAATATGACACTTAATAATAGACAGGAAGATATGTGCTCCTCGTCTGCCTCCGCTTGGGAAGCGTTGTAGCACAAACATGCTATCTCCTTCTTAAATAGAGAAGATAATCCCAATGCAGTGCTTGTTAAAGTGTTATCATTTGCTTTCCTCTGGAAGATTAAACATCTTCATTAAAACAACCGGTGGCCGAGGTGTGAGTGTTGCTGAGTGTGGGTGTGTGCGGTGCCCGGCTCCGAGCCGGCCTGAAGCCGTGGGGTGAGTCGGGAGGGAGGGAGGTGAGCCACGGCTGGCGAGGCACCTGCGTGCTGTGCTCCCGCCAAGGGAGCTGCTCATCCCAGTCTCTTTAGCAAATTTCTCTGTGCCTGTAGTACTCAGATTGGGAAGGACGGGCTGGGAATCAGGAGGATAACAAAGGCTGTGCACGCAGCCTGCCCAGTGGAGGAGAAAGATCCTGCCCCAGCTAGGCACGTGGAGGGCTGGAGGGTAATGCAGTCGTCACCCCGTTATTACCTCCCCTTGAAAATGCCTTTTTTAAAAAAACACTGCAAGGGTGGGTGTCCTGAAAGCGAAGGGCAGTGAGTGAGAAAGGCAGGTTTCCCTGGAACAGTCCTCAGACTCTCACTGCAGTTTCAGGTTTGCCTCCAAAATCTAAATATGTATCTGAGTATTTAAGGACAGTATTTGGGTGAACTGTGTATTTTCTATTTTCTACAAAGCCGATGGTTTTGTGGAAAAGAGCTTATCGAATGCACAGACACCCAGAAAACATCGTACAGAGCGACCATACAACGTCGGTGCTTGAGGCCAACAAAATTAACTGGGAAAAGCACTGAACCGTAGCATCAGAAAACTTCTGGGTAAATGCGCTGCACATTTTACCGTGTACATTTGGGGCAACCTCATAAATGAAGGCTGTGGTTCAAGGGCTTGACTGAAGATCACGCTGGCGCTGCGCGTGCTCTGCCCTCGTTAGCGCATTCCCAGCCATCCTTTCTGGCAGCGCTAATGAGCGTACAGCTGCCGGGTGAGGCAGGTCAGCTCCCTCATCTCACTGCAATGTCACTCTTCCAAATAAAAAGTAAAATAACCAACTCTGGCCAGTTCAGCAAGCTAAGTCAGACCTGGGAAACGGCAGCGCGATAGGTGCATCAAGAAAGATAGATCTTTGATCTTTAATTTGCTTAAGCTGCTTATGAATCACAACTTAAAGTACGTATGTCTTGAAGTACATAGGACCCCTGCAGAGCTTGGAAGCAGAGATTTAACTTAAGTTTTTAAAAATTAGTTTACCCTTTTACGAGTAAGGTTTTGTTACAGTATTGAACTAGCCTCTCCCAGTTAACATTTCAAATGTTTAAAAAATATGACACCTTACGGCGATGTAGAAAAGCCAGCTAGTTTACCATTCTGTATTTCCTCATGTGAACTGCAATATGTCTGTCTCCCATACCACTGGTCTCCTTTTCTAGCAATGCATTTGAAAATTGCTTTTTACATTTTCTTTAAAATCAGGTATGTTCTTAATACATATTTAACTAAAAATTAATTTGAAGCTGTTACTTGTTATGTTAAAAACAATGCTGAATAACTCAGTAAGCTTTTGCTGTCGATGTTTTTCTCTTTAAAAAAAAAAAAAAAAAACATTAGCAAGTGAGAGTCACTAGCTAAGTCCTCCAGCTGCACCAAACGTATTTATTGGGGTTTGGTTTGGTTTTTTCTCAAAGTCCAGTTCTTTCAAGGCTGAGAAATGGGGGCTTATAAAGCAGCAGAAATGCCCATTTTTCTTTATTAAAAAGAAAGGAAAAAATCAGTGATCTTGATAAATGTCATAATCTGAAATAAATTAGTTTGTTCATGAAATACAGATATTTATTTGATAAAGCATCTAGTTTTAAAACAGTAAAACAGTATTTGATTTGATGCACACTTTACTTTGCAACAGCCAATTAACTAATAATTCTAGTTCATATATAAAATGTAATCATCTAAGGAGTAGGGAAGTTTATCATTAAAAAATTAAATTGAAATCAAATATTTTAATCAAAACCTGTCTTCAGGGCAAATGCAGATATTCTGTATATCCTCTTTCTGAGATTTCCCTTTGTTTACTGTGAAATTCTGACAACTCGTGTTTCTTTTCGTCTTGCATAAAGATATTCACACAGGCAGAGACCCAGCTTCTGTCGGTGGTTGTGTCAGTTCATAGTTCACAGCTCCTAAAAGACTCTCTTAGTAGCGGAGTCTGTGCTCTTAGTCCGATGACTTGATGCACCTCTGGTTCAGATTGCTTTAATCCCTTCTGCTCTTAAGTGTCCATCCCTTTAGACTACAGAGCATGAAAGTTTTTCTACCTTTACATCTTGCACGGCACCTGGAGCAACAAGGCTTATAAACTTTGCTAGGCACTGCTGTTAAGAGAATTACATTAGCATACAATTTTAAACTTTTCCCAAGAATTATTAATGCAACTCCAAATAGCAGTAAAGCTACGTTTCCGTGCAAGCAGGATAGCTCTTCAGCAATGCATGTGTAACCTTTAAATGTTTGCTACTCTCTGATGTATAACAGGGAGAGATTACGCTAACTGATTGCGGGATATCGTGGTTCTTGTTCCCTGTTTTGGTACAATTCCCCTTTTCCTCTTTCTCTTTCCAGTTAGTTAACTTCTGTACAGCTCCCTCACTTAAATAGCTGCTGCTAAATGGCCTGGTGGAACCAGATACTGAACCTTACTCAAGGGAGCAGTGTATTTATACATTTCTCTCCTCAAACATCTTGTGACACTCTCGTGTCTTAAATTTACTCTTCCTCTGGCTGTTTACAGTATTTTAGGAATCATAGCATGTACAGTACTTTTGATAGGAACTTAATGATACCTTGTCTCCTAGAATAGTCTTGCTACTTGGAAGTTCATTTCCAAAGCAAGCATCTGAAAATACCGCAGTCCTCAACCAGCCTGAACAGGGCTGGTGTTATGTTCAAGATTTTTTTGGGTCATTGCATGCCACTAGTTCCAACATCCTAGGGAGGTCTTCAGCTGATTTTTAGTGGCAGTGGCACCATAAATGGTTTGCGTTGGAAGAGACCTTAAAGAGCATCCAGTTCCAACCCCCCTGCCAGGGACAGGGATGCTTTCCACTCGACCAGGTTGCTCAAAGTCCCATCCAACCCGGTCTCGAACACTTCCAGGGAGGGGGCATCCACAGCTTCCCTGGACAACCTGTTCCAGTGTCTCACCACCCTCACAGTAAAGAACTTCTTCCTTATATCTAATCTAAATCTACCCTCTTTCAGTTTAAAACCATTACCCCTTGCCCCCTTCAGGTACTGGAAGGCTGCTGTAAGGTCTCCCCAGAGCCTTCTCTTCCCTAGGCTAAACAACCCCAACTCTCAGCCCGGCCTCATAGCAGAGGTGCTCCAGCCCCCTGATGATCTTTGTGGCCCTCCACTGGACCCGCTCAAGCAAGTCCATGTCCTTCTTATACTGGGGGCCCCAGATTTGGAAGCAGTACTCCAGGTGGGGTCTCATAAGAGTGCAGTAGAGGGGCAGAATCACCTCCCTTGACCTGCTGGCCACGCTTCTTCTGATGCAACCCAGAATACGTTTGACTTTCTGGGCTGCGAGCACACATTGTCAGCTCATATTCAGTTTGTCATCCACCAGTGCCCCCAAGTCCTTCTCTGCAGGGCTGCTCTCAGTCCAGTCATTGCCCAGGCTGTATGGATGTTTGGAATTGCCCCAACCCATGTGCAGCAGCTTACACATGGCGTGGGTGAACTTTGTGAGGTTCGCACGGGCCCACCTCTCAAGCCTGTCAAGGTCCCTCTGAAATGACATCTCTTCCCTCTAGAGTATCAACCACATCACTCAGCTTTGGTGTCATCTGCAAACTTGCTGAGATAATAATACTGGTCCCTATATTCCCTAGATCCCACTGTCTCTGTTATTGTGTGTGGGAGGGCTCTTTCCTTCCTTAAAACTGACTGTCAGCTTAGTAGGAGTACCCCCCTCAGTTATACTCAGGGCTCTTTGGAGAGGTTTAATGATGTTATTACCAGAAACAGGCTCAAGACTTAAGTGGGGAACAAAACCCCTTGACAAAGGTAAGCATCGTATTGGCATGACTTCGACCTTCTGACTAAGCAAACCTTCAGGTAAGCGCCTCTGCTGGTCTGATTGCTGTAACCCAAATGTCTGTCATAAATTCTTCTCTTGCAGGTATGCTGCTGTGCCCCAGTGTAAAAAAATGGGCATAAATTCTGCTGTTTTCAATGTAATGAGATTTTTGTGCTTAGCAGCTCTCTTAATAATGAATGATGCTTCCCGTACTTCCTTTTTCCCTCTTGCTGTCCCCTGCAGCCCAATTTCAAAAGCCGTCTGCCAGGCACTAAGTCCTGAGTTCTGAGGAAGTTTGACTTTAAAATGGCTTGCTTCTTAAATCTCAACCAGAAGTTGTCGTTTTCCCTGCACAAAGCCACCAAGCCTTGAAGAGCCATAAATCTGTGTGGCTTTGATAGGTCTGTGCTGTCAGTGAAGGAGAATAGGTTTATAAGTGTATAGAGGCCAAGTTCAGCCTTTTTCTGCCATGCGTATCTGGGGAGTTTTTTTTTTCCTCTTCTTGCTCTTTGGTTTCCTACAGAGTGCTACGGCATATTTCTTAGTGACTCATAATTCTCTAAAGCAATGACCTTCGGTGAGAGCAGAAGTTTTCTCTGGGTGGTAGCGTGACTGCCCATAGATAGCTGTAGGGCAGCTGTATCTTCATTTAGTTAGCATACAATGCTTTCAACCACTGAAGTTGTCTCAATTGTGAAAATCAGCACTCAAAGCACAGCTTCTGCAATCTTTACATTGAATATTGTTTCTGCAAACAGCCATGTCATTCTGTATTTTTTCACAAGCCATTCACTCTCCTTGCACCGGAGCTGAACTCTGAAGCCTGTAATTTACATCCCTCTCAACTAGCTGTGTAGGCTGTCAGTTTATCATCCTGCCTTCCATGCCTTAAAAGGTTTAGAGAAATAAAACAGGCACAGAGACCTGGTCTAGCCAAAGGTCTCCTTATCACATTACCCGCAATACTTGTTTTCATCATATGGATTAGCAGAGGGTTAGTTTGGGGGATAAAGATGGCAAGGGAACAGTTGTTCTGAAAACCCATCAACTGCTCATTCAGAGTGAAAAAGAGTATCAAGCAGATGTCAGAGATGTGATTTGAAGACATAAAAGGAGAGGAGAGAGAACAAAATCATAGAGTTGCTAACCTAGGCCAATGCTTAAGCTTGAGCACATCATTTTAGTTTATGACTTGAAATAATGCCATAATTTCTGGGTCTTCTGTAACATTCACATCCTGGCACCAGTGACATTTCAGGTCTCTAGAAAGGTGCTGCCTGTATACATGAATTAAGTTTTCTTGGCCACCACAATCATATGACCTAAGCTTACAATTAAAAAATGAATACCTAATGTGTACTTAATACACAGCAGCACTCTGAGCATTAATAAGTTGTTTCCAGAACACATCATGGTGCTCTAAATTATAGTGTCTGTTCACGTCCTCTAGTCCTGCTTTGTCAGAGAAGCAGTAAAATCTCCTGTGCCAAAGTACTGGGAAAGTAACCCTTGCAAATGAATTTTCATGTCTCCTTGTAAATTTTGGTTTCCTGCCTCCCTAGAGCTTGGCTGCAAGTTGCATGTGAATGCATATTTGTCTGATGAGAAGATAACGTAAATTGAAGAGGTACTTTCAGGCTACCAGTTCATGTAGGTTGTAGTACAATTCTCGGGACTTAAGTTTCAGCTTACAGTTCCCAGTAAAAGAGCGGAGTGAAGTTAAGACTGTGATTTCTAAGTACGTGACTTCAGGTCTTTGTGCTTACAACTGCTATCTAACCATGCCCCTGCTGAAGCCCAGAAGCAGATGAAACAATTTCCCACCTTAAAATCGCGTTAGCTTACCAAAATATATGCCTCTGCTCTCTTAGGCTGTTATTGAGGCCAGAATCTCTTACAGATAAATAATTTCACTGATAGTGAGTTGATCTGTTTTTACTATGACTGTTTTATTGCTGTCTTGAAATACATTCCCAGGTTTTGGGTCAAAAGGAAGATGAAAACTTGACAACAAAAGTCCCATATGTTGAGTCAGTCTTGAGTGCAGGTATCCGCATGCTGGTTAATTGTTAGGGTCTACAACCCTATATAGGACTGAGAAGGGACTACATTTCAAGGACCGGGACTTATAAAAGTCTCCTTTGATCCCAGGTTTGGTTTTGGTTTTTTGGTTTTTGGTTTGTGTTTTTTTTTTTTTAAAGGCACAGGCTCAATCAGATACCCTGAGGCACCACCAGTGCTTTCCAGTCTGTCCCTCAAGGAGCCTGACTAGCAATGTCCAGCATGGGGGAAAACTGGGGAGCCTGAGACAGGAGCTGAGTGGTGGAGGCTCAGCTTGCAGGCATGAGACACAGCAGGTCTAATTTGTCCTGCCTTTGGTATTGGTCTTGGTAAAATTTCAGTCATGCATGCAGACTCTGAGCTTTTTTAAAATCCCCTTTAGAAAGCATATGTTTGACTGTTTCTATTAAGCGGTATGAAAGTATGTTTTTTGGTGAGAAAGGAAGGAAAGGAAATGAACATTGTGAGTAATTGCTTCTAGCTTTCTTCTGTCATCTTCTGACATCATGCTAATCCTGCAAATAAACAAGTCATTTATTTGTGTGCACTGCATTCGGTGAGAGCAATTGTTCTTGCATAAAATGTTATCTGAGGAGATTGCTGTCTAGGTGTGAAATGAGTAAAGTCCCTAAGTAAGGCCATGAGAAGGTTTCAGATGTCATGGGCAGCAAGTTAAGAGTAACTTATTCCCTGACTATTGAAATACTGCCCTGTGTTACAGGAGGAGGTGGTCTCTCATGTTGCTGAAAGGAATGGTACTGAAAGTTCTCCTACATCATTTTTCTTCAGCGTTGTACTTGAGATATATTCAGTTCTTAAAGTGTTGGACACCTATTTCTGGACAGACTAGCACAAGGCCAATAGCATCCTGGCTTGTATCAGAAATGGTGTGGCCAGCAGGACCAGGGAGGTGATCATCCCCCTGTACTCAGCACTGATGAGGCCGCACCTCGAGTACTGTGTTCAGTTTTGGGCCCCTCACTACAAGAAGGACATTGAGATGCTGGAGCGTGTCCAGAGGAGGGCAACGAAGCTGGTGAAGGGTCTGGAGCACAAGTCTTCTGAGGAGTGGCTGAGGGAGCTGAGGTTGTTTAGCCTGGAGAAAAGGAGGCTGAGGGGAGACCTTATCGCTCTCTACAGGTACCTGAAAGGAGGTTGTAGTGAGGCGGGGGTCGGTCTCTTCTGTCAAGTAACAAGTGATGGGACAAGAGGAAATGGTCTCAAGTTGCGCCAGGGGAGGTTTAGATTGGATATGAGGAAAAATTTCTTCACTGAAAGGGTTGTCAAGCACTGGCACAGTCTGCCTAGGGAAATGGTTGAGCCCCCATCCCTGGAGGTATTTCAGAGACATGCAGATGTGGTGCTTAGGGACATGGTGTAGTGGTGGACTTGGCAGTGCTGAGTTAGTGGTTGGACTTGATGGTCTTAAAGGTCTTTTCCAACCTAAATGATTCTATGAGTCTGTGATTCTGTAATTCTTGATCTGTCCTACTCAAAGGCCAGTGATGTAGTCAAATAAATAAAAAAATTTTTGCAGTACCAAAAAAAGCATCAATTAGAACAAGTTGAAATTCACTCATTTTGACCAAGGATGTGCAATAGGTGGAAGTGGTTTCCGTTCTGGCTGAGATGAAAAGGGGTTGGTGTGTTCACCTATAAAGACCTCCACTTCCCTCACTAGAGTGTTGGTTAACAGCTGTGTTGCTTCACAGCAGACTTGTGAGAGCTTTGCACAATGTTCAGACACAGAAGTACCGTCTTTGTTTAATTTAATAACAGGATCCTACCTTTGTTAAATGTTGTAACTGCTTTTTTAATAGAGATAAAAGGAGGAGAGGAATATAAAAAGATGACTGTCGCAGCTGCAGTGCTTGGCTGTTGCTAAGCCCCGAGACAAGAGGAAAATACAAAAGTCACGCTCCTTGTTTTGTTCATTAGGTCATGAGAGAGTGGGAGGAGGCAGAACGCCAAGCAAAGAACTTGCCAAAAGCTGACAAGAAAGCTGTTATCCAGGTAAAGGAAAATGCAACCACAGCCTTACCCACTGGGACCGCAGTTAAAATACAAGGGGTGCTGGGTGTGATAGAATTTTAAGACCTACTTCTATGGGGATTTAATGTTATTCTCTGCTCTTGCTGTTGCTATTTTTGTTTCCAGCTGTTAGTGGCCGCTGGGTGTCTCTGTACTTTGCAGCCAGTCCCTGGAACAGCAGTGCAGAACATCGCTCGTGACTGTGTGGAGGGGTAGAATTCCGCTTGAGTTTAGATTTGCCTTCAGTGAGAACTGAAAACTTGGCTCCCACAGGCCCCTTTCAAACCGTGATAAACTAATATAAGCTGCAGGACCTAAGCTCAAAGCAGAGATGGAAGATGTGATTTAAGGAAGAAATTGCCATGTTTTATCTGAAAGAAACCCTCAGCCAAAAATTATTTTATCCAAAATTACACTGTAATTCAAAAATTCTGACAAGCCAGACACTCCTTGAATCCCACTGTGGCTATGTAAGGTATTATTCAATACTGCTAGAATGATTTCAATGCAAAACTATAAAAAGGTAACGCTCAGAACCAGATTGCATCTCACATTAGATCCCACACCTTTCCTCTCTGTGCATTTTACCCAGTCAATCTTTTCCTTTAGTGGAATAAGTCTGGGCTCAATTTTTCTTCCTGGTGGCCAGTTTATAAGAAATTATAGTGACTCTGTTCAGGTTGGAATTTCCCCGCCCCCTTTCCCCCCATGTAGATCTGCTCATGAAGTCATGTTGATACATGGAAAGCCCTCGTGATGGCAGGGAGCCTACATGTGCCAAACTCCACCCTCTTCTAGGCACAATTCTCTAGCGCTGAACCACTGTCTTAGGAGGCAAATGAAGGATTCGCTGGTGGTTGTGCTGAACATGTCAGGAATATTTGATTAGATTAATAAAATATGGCCAGGTGTTCAGGAATACAGGGCATCAGGAGTTCCCACTGAAATCAGGAAAAGGTGCATTCAGTGCAGAGTTCCTGGGAGGCAAGCTAGACTGACATGGGGAGACATTTTGGTGATTTGCAGATGGAGGTGTTGCCATCCGCTGGACTCCGCTTATGTCTTCACTGTTCCTGTTGTGATGGGTATTTTTTTCAGCATTTCCAGGAGAAAGTGGAATCACTGGAACAAGAAGCAGCGAATGAAAGACAACAGCTGGTGGAGACTCATATGGCTCGGGTGGAAGCCATGCTGAATGACCGTCGCCGCATTGCTCTGGAGAACTATATCACAGCCCTGCAGACTGTCCCACCCAGGGTAAGTGCAACACCACAAGTTCTGTCAGCTGTGGCAAAATCACTGTAGTGATCCTGGGGGAAAAAAAGGTGTGCCCAGGTACAGTCCAGCTGTGGAGCAGTGAGTGTGTGTTCCCCATGCAAGAGCTACTACAGCAGTCAGCTAGTTTGAAAGTTAAAAGTTTAGACTTTGTGTGTACATAAATGAAGGCACAAGCACACACACCCCGTACATACCTATAGATAAATAGATACATACATAAAGATACTTAAACAAATAACGTGGAAGTGATTTGGTTGTCAGAAATTGTAACCATTCACAGATCCTGTAGAAGGATGATGAAGCACCCCTCCAAGTGATGCACAGTAGGATACTTCATCATGTCAAGATGGAGCTTAAGGATGAGGGTGATTGTGATTTTCTGTTTTGTTTCTTGAACTGTTGAAATGTTTGGTGAAGAATTTTGTGAGGATTGTTGGATGGCGTGAAGACAGCACACTAGCAATTCAAAGTTGTCCGTGTTGGATCTGATGGCTATTGGTGGGTGTAAACACTAAGTTCAGAATGTGGATTGAATGGAATTTTTAATGACTCCGTATCTGTGATGTTTGTATTCAATACCAAAATAACTAGTCTGTGACCTCCAGAAGAAGAGAATCTGCACGAACACTGTGGGAAAACAGCCAAATGTTTATATGCCTCTCACCTCTTGAACACTTCCTAGATGGAAAACACATTATGTTACTAAAAGACTTTTGGATCAGCAGTGTAAGATGTAGCCATTAGATCCTGAATTTGGCCTCACAGGGAATTGCATCAATACGGCTAACCTGGTAAAATTACATGTTTTAAGTGAATTTCCTTCTGCAGAGAAACCTGCATATTCAGGGAGCATGGAAAAGTGATCATCGTCTTAGTTCTTTATCACCATCAAACTTTTTTCTCCACCCCATAGTGCAAAACTCTCTTATTTTTACTATGTGCCAAGTAAAAGAAAAATCTTTTACTTAGGTAGGAGTGTCACAGGGGGACTTCAGAGTAGTTGTATGAAGAGTTAATCTGTATTTTGCAAGATAGTAAGAGTTAATCTGTATTTTGCAAGATAGTAATTTGTGGAAAATGAAGCTAGTCTGTATTAAATTGGTAGAGGATGTTGTTTGGTCTGAGTGCGAGATGCGTATTGTAACCTCTGACTATTGTGAGGGTAGTGAAGGGCTTGGACTCAAGAGTCTTGTTAGCAGACAGATGAGCGCGTTACAGGCTGGGATGCAGCTTCCCTTAGGAAACTGGAGTCTGCGGCTCAGGACTGAGAGCGAGATGAGGTGCGTGCATAGACTGGCTGCGGGTCGTGTTTGCTCCCTTGCGGTGTGGTTTTAGGTAGTTCACCTAAGATATGATTTCACGTTTGGCTTTAGCCAATCAGCTGCTGCTGTAAAGTTGAGCCTCGTGCAAATGTAATCATGTCTGAAAAGTATCCCCAGAAAAATGATTTGATTTCAAGTTGTGTGTGGATCAGGCTGACAGCTTGGTTCTCCAGGTATCCGAGTTTGTGGAAAGTGAGGATGGGGACCACACGTAACAGCAGAATGGTCTCTAGAGCTGCCAAAATGTGCAACTTCACTCCTAGCACAAGGGAACTTGATTTTTCATGTTTGTGGGATGCAGATGACATCTCTACTGCAAAAAAAAAAAAAGTGAACTTCACCTGCAGAACACTAAGGGACAAAAAGGTCAACACTGACTTTGAGAGCAGAAAAATCTTCATTTTTTACTTGGGTTGCTTGTAGTCAGCTCCCAGGACATTTAAATTAATAATACATTTACTGTTTCAGTGGGAGAGCATCAGGCCTGAAAGGCTGTGTCAATGAACACATGACTCCAGTAGAAGTAAGTTTTGAAGGTACTGTTAAAAGACTGAGGTGCATCCTATATTGTGTCCCTACAAAAGCTGATCACTCTGAAACATCAGCTCAAGGTGCTACCAAACGGGGACTCATCTCAAAACTAATGGAAGTGAACAGTTTAAAAACTTAGGTCTTTAAACAGTTCCTTTGCCAGTTTTGGTGGTGGTACTGTTCTGCCTCAGCGTTTTCTGGTTGCGTGCTCTGTAGTTACTGACAGTTCAGGCATGTACCTCTGAACTGCTGGTCAGATGTGTGCCAAAGCGCTATTTTTCTGGTTTTATTGTGGGGCAGGGGGTGAAATCTGAGGAGTGATTGATGATAGCTGAATAGCTTAATGAATGAATCCACTCCGCTAACGGCTTTGCAGGATATGGAGCCAGAAATCTCAATACACTGTGAATCCAAACGTTGGCAGCCTAGCCAAAGAGAAAATGGGATTAATGGAAAATTCAACTCTGATACCCTAGCTGTATTTTTCTCTGGTGGTTCCCTAGTAAACTAAAAGTATATTCGATGCAATTGTGTTGTCTTTGGGAGAGTAAGTCATAACCTTGCTGGTGACTTGTTAAGTAGTCTTACAAAAGGGAGTTTTTTCTGGAGTTCTGCAAAAATATTTTTAAGAACCCCCTTCCAGAGTCTGCTTCAAATTACATGGTTCGCTATTAGTATGTTTGCTACAAAAGTAGATTCTGAATATAAAGTGGTGGAGTCTCTTTCTCTAAAGTTATAAGGACAGAATTTGGGTTTAAATTGAAAAATAAGTTAGGCTTTTTTATTGAAGTGCATGTCTTCTGCACACAGCTAGGAGGGTTACCGTAAGAGTGATGTGCGTGCATGCGTGTGTATATATATATAGATGTGTGTGTGTGCAAAAAGTATTTTCCATATGCTGTTTAATCACTTGGACGTATTGCCTTGTACTTGAATTTGAACATTTCCCAAGATTTTTTGGACTTCTGGCAGACCACCTGAAGCAGCAGGATTTCATTTTACTCTTGGATGTCTAGAAATCCATGACCAGTCTTTGCCTGCAGATCAGTTACCATAGGAGTACAGTGAGTCTGGCACTCCTGGTGTCATCAGACTGATCATGGATGTGGTGCGTGGCTCTCCGTGAGCGACAAAATCCTGATCCATTGGGAACTCCTGTTTTCTATGTGTATACAGATGATGTGGTGCTTGTGTTCAAGGGATAGCCTCTTTAGGGGAGCTGAAAAGAAACTTCAACTGGCTTGGAAAGTCCTTGAGCTATGGACAGGGGGAAGCTGGAAGGCTATGTGAGGAGAAGTTTCATCATTTACTTGCTCCTTTGGAGGAGGCTTTCCTTGTAGGATAGCAAGATATGGGACTAGGGGAGCCTTTGGTCTGGGCCAGTAGAGTAGTCATTACGTTCTTATACATGCCTGGAAAATCAGTGGTTTTCGGTGCCATTCTACCTAAAACTACAAAATTCTGGGAATCCTGTATGAATGGCTTCTGTATGAGACCAAAAACTTTAACTGCAGTTTTTTCAGGTGTTACACAGACGATTGCCCAATGCCAGTGTCAGAGGAGTGCTTCAGGCTACCACTCTGGGCAGCAAGGGAGCCAGGGAGCATATAGAGATGAAATTGCATAGCTTCAAGGTCTACCAGAAAACAAATTTGAGCAAAACCAAATATTTGTACTGTTGTTCTGTTCTCAGAAGCACTGTCATGCAGGCTGCCCAGAAACTTAAAATTTGATCCTCATCCCTGATTCCTGATGCAGCTTAGCTGTGCTTTGTTGCCTTTGAAAATGGGGTGCAGCTGTTCAGTATCCAGTGTCAAAATACTGTATTGTTTCATCCTGCTTGATGGCCTTACTACAGAAAAGGAGGATTAGTGGCAGCTGGAACCAATATGCCTCCAGTTTTTAAAACAGTTGGAAATTTTCCCCTTCATTTTGCAAGTTAAATAGAGGAATTCAAATCCATCATTCTCTGTGAGCAGGTCGATTTTATAATTTGTTTATATTCCCTCTTTCACGTGCATGTCAGATTTTGCTGGATTTATGCCTCCCTGTTTAATCTTCATTGGTAAGAGATGCACATTCTCTGTGGGAAGCCGGTGGCAGGGGGCAAAGAGAAGCAGAAAAGAAATCCAGCTCCTAGTGGTGAAATAAAGGGTTTCAGAGCAAGGAAACATACAGGAAAACTTTGAAAGGTAATTAATTAACCTCCTTACTTTGCGCATAGAATAAAGTGAGCATATAATGATTAAAATCAGTTTAAAATGATTCTCTTCTAATTCAGCAGTATTTTACTGAAACGTAAATTATTGCCAAACAGAGCAGGATCATTAGGATCAACCCTAACATGTACCTTAATCCATTTGAATTTTTTTGCCGTGGTTTTCTCTTGTTGCCCTCAGAGTTTGCTCTGGTACCTTTTGTGCTGTGGGAGCAGTGTCTGTTCATACAGAGAGAGCACAGTGCAGGCTGAAACTAGTCAAGTTTGGCTATTTGGACATGGAAGAGGGATCTACAGAGGGGCCCTTACTCAGTGCCTCTGTGTTCGGGAAGCTCAAAGCCTTTCCTGAGTCCAACGAGGTTGCTGTGGAAATATGCAGTTGGAGGCAGGCCAAAGCATTGCTGCTGATCTAGTGATAAAAATCCTCCTGTGCAGTAGGAAAGAGCAGTCCAGCTCTAATACCCCACCCTTTAGCTCCGCTCCTCTAAACCCATAAACTTACAGCTGTGGAATTTCTCACATACACTTAATTTGGCAGGATTTTGTGAAACAGACAGCATGGATTTCAGCTCTGCTTTTAAACCAGGTCAGACTTTGAGAAATGTGGTCACCTAACTCCGTTTTCCAGCAGCTTCTGAGGCTTTTCGGTGAATAAAACCAGACTCTTGTTTTTTCCCCAGTCTGTGGGCTTGAGCATATGGTATAGTCATACACCTAGGCTTGCCAGTAGGTTTTTTGTACAAGTGAACTAAATACAGAAGAGGCAATTCCAGATGGGTATTAAGTTCTGCAAAACCATGGCAGGTTCATTATATCTAAAATGCAAAGTTTTAGAAGAGTGAGCAGAAACAAAATTTTTCTTAATCTGTCAAAGTTGAGTCAGTTAAAATCCTGAAAAGCAAATGAGG